TGTAGCCAGCAGCCAGCGTGAGCGGCCGTCCAGAAGCCGGCGACTGATCTGCCTCACCCAGGAAGAGCGCAATGATGGTGCCAACTTGGGCCAGGAAAGCAACGTCCTCCACAACTAGACTGAAGAACAAAACGACAGCAACTTCTCTGTTTCCCTTTCCCCAATTCCCCACCGCTGCTCCCATACCCCCAATTCCCCAATAAAAATCTTAAAAAAAAAAAAAATGGTGTACTCTTGGACCGGTCGAGTGGCTCAGTTGGTTAAGAGTTGGCTTAAGAGTGTGAGCTCTGAACAACAGGGCTACTGGTTCGATTCCCACATGGGCTAGTGATGCTGCGCCCGAGCTGCGCTGTCGTTGAGCTGCCAACAGGTGGCAGGATGGCTCAGCTGGTGTAACAACAAGATTGCCTGTTTGATGGTGGGCTACGCCCACCCGCAACTAAGACTGAACTTGGCACCTTGACCTGAGCTGCCACCTGGATGGCTCAGTGGATAGAGCACATGTGCTCTTAACAACAAGGCTGCCAGGTTCGACTCCTGCATGGGATGGTGGCTACGTCCACCCGCAACTAAGATTGAACACAGCACCTTGAACTTAGAGGCCATGAGCTGCCAACGGGAAACCAGATGGCAACTGGTGCCCTCCACAACGAAGATTAAAGAACAACAACTTGGCTGGTTCCCTTCCCTGATTCCCCAACACTGTTCCCCTCCCCCAATTCCCCAATTTATATAAAAAAAAAAAATGGTGTACTCTGACACCAGGATATAAACTTAGGAAACGATGTGCCAGAATTATGATTATGATGCATTCAAATATATAGACATGACATCGTAAGTATGTCTTCAATCTAAATAGTTTATATTTAGACTTTCAAAGGCTTAAATAAAAGAGAAATATATTATAACGCATATAAGGAACTTATGTTTTAATTCCTAAACTGGATGTTTTCTATTCCAAGAAGATTCTAAGTATTTAAAATTAGAAAAAGTGAATTTTAAGCCACAGGACACTTTCAGCAAATTTAATGAGTATTTGGGTGGTCTGGTACTTTTTACAGCTTTTTATTTAGAACATGATGGTATCTATATGACCAGTAACACGAAAAACAACTTGGGAATTTCTGGCTTCAAACACTACGGGAAATAATTTTTCTCCCATAATACAGTGGACTTTAGTATGAGATATCATTATGTGAATTTTAGTATTAGGTTCATCTTACAACCTAAAAAGTTTGAGTATTAAAAGTACATGATTTCAGCATTTTATAGTCCCAATTATGACATGGCCATGTCATATGGATTGTGAGGACAGCATTCTCATGAAGGCTCCAATACACTGATGTTTCTTTCTAGATGAGAAAATAGTTTAACAATTGCTATCTAGTAAAGCATGTATCCCTAGAATCAAACCAGTCATGAAAAAAATATCCTTCTATAGATTAAGGGCAAAATTCAAGGATGAAAAACACCCTGTAAAAACAAGCTTCAGAAACAGACTCACAGATACAGAGAACAAACTAATGGTTGCCCAAGGGGAGGGGTTTAGAGGGTGGGTGAGAAAGGGGAAGGGATTAAAAAGTACAAATTGGTAGTTACAAAATAGTCACAGGGATATAAAGTATAGGAAATACAGTCAATAATATTGGTATAACTATGTATAGTGTCAGGTGGGTACTAGACTAATCAGGGGGATCACTTCTTAAATTACGTAAATGTCTAACTACTATGCTGTACACCTGAAATTAATGAAAAAATATTTAATGCCAACTGTAACTGAAAAAAATAATTTTAAAAATAAAATAATTTAAAAAGATAAAACAAGTTTCTATATAACTCTCAAGAACAGATTGTGATATGATAATATACGACACTGCTGAAGAAAAAAATTAAAACACTAAAAAAATGATTTCTACTGGGACCTAAGAAATGAAAAACTTATAATATTGGAGGGCTGATTTGGTGTCCTTCTAGAACCACATGGAGTGTTACAAGGAGAAGACATTAATCCTTGAGATCCCTCAGCAAAGGTATTTTGTCTTTCAAGAGTGATTTTGCCATTACGTTCTATGCTTTATTTCAAATGATTGTTACAAAACATAAATGTTAGACAAAAGCAGGGAACAAAGAAGTAACCTGACAAAATTCTTTGGTAAATGACCATCACTACTCATCTAAAAGGCATCTGCCTCCCATTCCAAAATTCAATGAATTACGTTGTAAGTATGATAGGAATATTACACAATTCTTAAAAGGAAATTTCTATAATGCAACCAACTAGCTACATTACATAGTTATAAACAATGTATTCTTTTTAGTTTTTCTCCCATAAGAGAACGTTATATATCTACAATACATTATATGTGTATAATAAAAAAACTGTATGTTTAACAAAAGTCAGTATAATCTGGAAGAAAAAAATGTCTCTGCCTTTAAATAGAACTATAGATAGATGCTTCTAACATGTGAAATTTACTAGATTTCAAAAGTTAAACTGAAGTTAAAAAATTAATTTAAAAAAATATGTTAAGCCTTTATAGAGACAATCTTATTTTTTTTAAAAAAACCAGATCAATTCCTGTTACAGCAAATGTCATCTCATTAAAACTTTTGTATATGGAATACTAAATATCTATTAAAAAGAATGAGGAAGGTCTTTATGAAGCAATAAGGAACAATCACTAACATAAAACATTTAAGTAAAAAGAAACAAGGTGAAGAACAGTGTGTATGAGATTTTTTTTTTAAGAAAGGAATAGTTGGTCTGCCTATTTATAGACAGATTGATGGGAGTGTCATTTTTTATAGTCTACTTTGTTTTTTTTCTCTACCATGTACATCATATACTACCCATTCAAAAAATATAAATAAAAAAATGGTCAATGATATTTGACTAGTGAAGCAGTTGAATGGTCACCTAGATAATATCTGCTGAATAAATTAATGAAATGGTGCCCACTTTTTTTGGTCAGGATAGCATTTGTATGTACCTTATTTCCTGAACTGATGGTAGACTGAGTGATAAAACAGCTAACCAAGAGGTAAACGCATAATCAAAAAAGAGAGTTCATGCACCACAAAGCTGTCTAGCTTACTTGCAGTACAGTAGGCAGGCAGGCAAACTGGCACAGAACACTAAGTCTGTTTCTAAGGCAAGTTTCCATAACCAAACGCAGATCAGAAAAATGTTAGGTCAGATATGAACAGAAGGTTGATGGCTCTCAGCATGGGGACTAAGCCAGCGAGGACGAGACTAAAAGGTTTTTAACTCTAGTTAGTTATCTTTGACTGAAGCAAGTAAGAAAAACGTCTATTGCCAGATCTGTAGTTTCTAAGCTTTTAAGTTTCAGTATGGTAATATTTCAGGGCCTTGAACCTCAGGTATTATCAATCTCAAAAGAAAACAATGGTGACTATCCATTATTTACCTTTGTCACAGCAAAAGCAGTATGAAAAGTAACTTCAAAAAAACTGGGGAAATATCCCTGATTTATATTCTGAAATCGCTATATTTTGGGTGTTTTGCTGTTGCTGCTGCTGTTGACTTATGGTGGTGGTGGTGGTGCGGGGTGTGGGGGGGGTTCAGGCAGGGAAGAGATATGGATGAGAGGAGAAGTGGGGAAATAGAGGAAGGGAGAAGGAAAATGAAAACTGTCCTATAAGGCAGAAGACACCTCTTAATTAGGCTTTAAAAAAAAATCACTTCATAGAGGTTCAGAAACCCTTAACCAAATGAAAGTATTAATGAAATAAACTTTAAATCTGTATCTTCAGGGTGAATATTTAAACCAGAGACAGAAAAATTTTTAGAAAGACACACCTACATCCTAGACACAGAAGTGCCTATTTAAAACCTCTGCAAGCAAAGTAAATCTGAGGGATCAAGAAATTCTTCCTGGAACTGAAATCAAGTTAAACTACAGCTCTATGACGACCTATGTAGGTGGTCTTGACATTTTTCCAAAAGGCTTTTCTTGCCTGATCTGCCTGAAGTACAGCAGTGTAACTGGAAGCAATCGCCAGGCTCTCTACTTAATGGAGACTGTTCTTTGGGTACAACGTTCATAAGGAAAACAGGGCCTTGAAAACATTGCCTTCAATCACTGTTCAACCCAGTCAGGGGCCAAACTACATTTGGAGACTTCTAAATTATTACAGAACTTGGTGAACTGAAAGGGTTTCTTTTTCTATATTTCTTACAAAATGTCCAACGCTCAACAATTTTAATTTAGCTGAAACCTCTCTAATTCTTTGGCCTATAGAAGGCAAGCAGTGCTTTTCACAGAACAGAATTAAAGTTCCCTAAGTTTTCAAATGAAAACATGGGCATATCACTCAGCAAAAAGTCTGGTGCTTGGCTACCTGGGTTACTTTGAATGTAGATTCCCAAGACCCACCTCCAGAGATTATGAATCAGTAGAAATGGAAGCCCAGGAAATACACACTTCAGAAAACAATGCTAAGGGATTCCAATATAGGTGACAGAGGAGCAGAATTTAAAAATCACTACTCTCCATTACTAGGAATGGTCCTACCTACAAACTGTGCTACCAAGGAAGAAAAAGAGCAATAATAAGCAAGTTTTAGACTTCTAGACACGATAATCCCCAAAATATGTTTTATATTGTTCTAATATAAAGGTGCTTTCGTGGTTGCTGTATAGAAGTGGGTTATGGCTCCTAGGCAAACAAGGTGCACCTCCTGTACAAATGGGACTCTCCCTTGAATCAAATGTTGACCCCTGACAGGAATGTTTGCCAGGCGTGTTCAATAAACAAGGTCAGGCTTAGTTCAAATTTTCCCTTCATTACACAAGTGAGAACTCAAGAATGGATAGTACATGTGTTAGGAGGGGAGGACAAACAAACCAACAGTCCTCACAAAGCATTTCAAGAACCATTTCATCCCCCTTCATAAACAATTCAGCAGTTAAGAGTAGCAAAGTGTAGCAGGACAGAAGAGTTAATTTACACGAACACTCTGGATTGCAGGGCGACAGATGGCAGACACTGTCAAGCAGTCTCAAGTTGAACGAATTCTTGTGTCTGTACCAACTTTAACTGCGGTGCCAAATGTGTTCAATAATTCCAACTCAATGAGGAAAGGGAAGCAAGAAGCTAGGAGGAAAAGGGGAAGGAGCATAGTCTCCATGATGTCTGAAGTAGCAATGAAACTGCTGCCCCTTTAAATCAGAGGGTAGCATAATAGCTATCTGAAGGGCAGAAGTCAAGGAAAACTGTGAAGGAATAAGGGAGACGAACCACCCAGTTTGTGGAAGGCAAAAAGCCTTTCATATTTTCTTCCTAGTACATTATGCAGTGCACATTAAGGTTTTCAAATATTTAATGTTTTGTTTTTGCTGTATCACCGAGTAAATGGGAAGGGTGTAGGCCCTTTTGAGCTTATATTATAAAAAGATTAAATTTGTGAAATAGGGTCAGAAAGGCCTGTTCTAGTCAATTACTTCAGTCTACAACTCATTCTAAGGCTTGTAGGAGAAAATCAACTTCCACTTCTTTTTCCAACACAGAAGCAATTATTATCACTTGTACTATTTAATGTAAGAAAAATAAACACTTTTCTACAACTGGACCCATAAACTAATTTCTTTCAAAACCATACGGGGCATGGCTTTCAAGTTTCAATTTTTAAAAAAAGCAAATAGAAGCATGAGCAAAATGTTTCCTACTGTTCAAGACTCAGTTATTCGTTTTTCCTGAGATGGTACTGAGTCCAAATTCCTGAAAAATAGGATTTTTGCTTGGGGGGAAAAGTAAACATTTCTCTTAAGGTAATTTTTTTAAAAGCAATTCTATTTGAGTATATAGAAATAGAAATACTTGAAACACACAAGAGAAACAGATGACTTCTTACCTTGCTACCACTTTCAGGTTTAAGGTCATTCTGTTAAAAGAGGAAAACAAATATTTTAAGGCATATCCAAATGAACCCTCACTACATGCTTGTTTCTAACCTCGGAACCTGAGACTATGTTCTGGTAGTAGTGAATTCCCTGAGACGTCAGGGTCTGTAGAAGGGTACTGCTCCCACCCCCACCCCTGACTCTGAGCATATCAGGGTCCCTTGTTAGAATGGTCTGTATGGTTTAAAAAGTCCATAGTTACCACCTTTAGGAAGGAATTTGCGAGAACTACCAAACCACTATTTTAGGTAGAAATGTTATTAACTGAATTACAAAAATCAATCAATTAAAAAAAATCCAAAACCAGTTTCCTTAGCTTTTCAGAAATACTACATGTGATGCTTTACAAACAGGAAGCTGTATCTTAGCACAGTAAGGCTAGATGATTTTGGAGAAAATTTAGCCTGATGGCTGGGTTGAATGAATTCCCATTGTTCTGTGGCTGTTCCTTTCCATCAGCACTCCTAGCTCAGTTCGTTCTTACCGGATGCACGTCACCAATATAGTACTGCTTTAGCATTTCTCTGGCATCCAAGGAGTGGCCTACATCCTCAAAGCTTTCACTTGCATCTGCACCAGCTTGTTCCAGCAGAACCTCTTCTCCGCCGGGATGCTGCAAGGAAAAGACATTTACTGAGCAGAGCACGCGCTGAAAAGCAAACCAACAGAAGTTACTTTCCCCTCCCTCTCTCTTTTCTCTTTTCTCCCTTTAATGGGAGTGATAACCCATCGACATTGTATGCCACCTGATAGGATGCAATGGGAAGAACACAACATAATTTCTGTGATATTCTGGCCAAAAATGCACAATATGGGGATAATTGTGAGGAAACTTAGGACTACTGCAAATTGAGAGGTAGTGTGCAAAACGACTGACCTGTGATCTCCAAATATATCAAGGTCATGAAAGCCGAGGAAAGATGAAGAATTGTTCCAGACTGAAGGAGGCTAGAGACAAACAGCTGAAAACAATGTGTGCCCCTGGGTCCATTTCTTTGCCAACATTACTGAGACCCCTACAGAAACCCGAAAGGAGACTGGGCAAAGGATACATGAAATCCTTTATTCTACTCTGGCAACTTCTCTGTAAGTTTGAAATGGTTTCAAAATTAAAAAGTTAAAAAAATAAATAAGTAATATCAAAATAACTACTTCCATACCTAGGAAGTAAATTCTATCTATTGGGTTGTCGGAAAAGTCATGACGCATTTTTCTCAACGAAAAACAGAGAAAAAATACGTCATGACTTTTCCAACAACCCAATATAACTTACAAGCTATATGACCCTGAACAAGTTATTTAAAAACTGAGATATCTTTGTTTCTGATTTGTAGAGATAACGAGCACCTATCTTAACTACTATTAGGAGTATTAAATGAGATAAAGATATGAAATACTTTGTACTCAAGAAGAGAGAGTTGCAGTTTGTATGTTATCATTTATGGTTGTAAAAAGTAGATACATATATGTGTGCCTATGCATAAAATCTTCCTGGAAACACTGAAGAGAATGTGTTAGCTGGGAGACAGGGTGGAAGGAAGACTTTAAACTATACATATACATCCTTTAGAAATTGTTTTATCAAATAAGCATTACCTACTCAGAAAATAATTTTTTTAAGTTATATTTAGCACGGTCCCTGCCCTAAAGTAAACACTCAATAAACATTTACTTACTACTAACAAATTTAGAATTTAGCTATTTGACATATCTAAATTTGTATACTTGAAATACCAAGTAATGCTTTTAAGTAGTTCCTTTTTATTACAACCTTTTAAGCAGGACTAGTATGCTCATTCCTGTCTTAAAGATAAATTCAACCAAAGCACAAAAACTCTTAAGAGTAACCTCCCAGTCAGTCACTTGCCTATAAGCTCTCTGAAGATGAGAATAACTTGTTTTGTCTCCTAAAAAATCTCGAACCAGTGGGTGGGTCTCCCATCCCAGTATTTAAGCATGCCGTTTCAAAGCAAGAGTAAGACAGCCACCATTCATCTGTCTCACATCGAAAAATTCTCAGCTGTGTTAAGCCATTAGTTTTGGAACTATGTCCCAGTTTGCTTTATGCACCTAACCTATGGAAGATTTTTTTATGATATAACCTAACTATTACGTTGCCTTTCAGAGCAAAAGGATAACAAAGTTCTTAGTAGCTTGAGATAGTTCAGGGAATGGTTGAATTTATGACTTCCTCTTTCTATGACAAAGTATTTCATTTTCACTCATCTCTCACCACTTATAAACAAATAAATGCTACAACAGAAATAAGTACAATTAACATTTGCAGAAAATTCCATTGTTTTTCCTATATACTCTTTCAATCATTTCAAACATTATTCTACAGTTTTTATTGAGTACTTACTATTTTATGTGCCAGGCAATGATAAACAAGTTTTTGTGTTTTTACAAAAGTGAATCATACCATACATACTGTTTAGTTTTTAAAGATTTTTATTGGGGAATTGGGGGGATGGGAACAGTGCTGGGGAATTGGGAACAGACAAGTTGCTGTCGTTTTGTTCTTCAATCTAGTTGGGGAGGACGTTGCTTCACTGGCCCAAGTTGGCACCATCATTGTGCTCTTCCCGGGCGAGGCAGATCAGTCGCCAGCTTCTGGACGGCCGCTCACTGTG